TTTAGTGAGCCAGCGCGACGTTGATCCCAGGCGCCTTGTTTCTCGAGGCCGCCTCGTGGTTCGGCTGCTGATGTCGGACAGCATAAGGCAGATGACATGCGCAGTGCACTCAGAGCTACAGATCTAAACACTCTTGCATTCTCGGACAAAATCCCGATGACAATCGTCTAATCAACGCCAAAGAGACGCGCATTTCCATACATTCATTCACTGTGGAAGATGCGAAAAATGAGCCATGCACAGGAAATGATGGATTGCTTGCACTGTACACACGCATCCACCATTCACAAGACATGAAGACGGGGTCCTTGCGCGGGAGGATTACCCAGGAAACTAATGAAAGAGTTCCGGAATAAGTTCTTTCACGCACAGAAAGCGTACAGATTCATGCTCACCCAGAAGAGGGAAAGAGAGAGAAGGAGAGAAGCATCGAGACACATCATTACTCAAAGATAGAGGAGAAGGGGAAGGTGAGGGGGGGAGAGTCGAGATAGGAGATGACGCAACCCAAAAGAAGGAAGTTCAACGTCATCAGAGAGAAAGATCCGCAACAACAAAGGCACATTCGCCGTTAATTCCAATATGGCCCCGGGCCAATAACTCACTCAACTCCAATCATCGATCCTCGTACCCGCATCGACGATCCCGGCCGCCGCGTGCTAACTCCCACCACTGCGATCGTCACCCCACTGTCGTAGACTCGACACGGTTCGCCCAGATCCCACAGTCCGTCGTTGCGCTCCAACGCGCAACCGGTAAGCCTATCGTCACCGAGACAGGACTTTCCGACTCGCATCAAACACTCTGCCTAGCCACTGCTTCCCGGAAACTGGCTTGAGAGTCAAGAACGTAAGAGAGATTTGCGGACGCGCTTGCGGGTTTCATAGTTGCGACAGGGGAGATAGAAGGGGGAGAAAGCGACGGGAAAGCTGAGGTGTAAGAGGAGAAGTAGGAGGAGAAGACTTTGAGAAGAGTGCTCTACGAACGCCATGTTGATCCCTCGAAACTCAAGGTTCAACCAATCAGATTCGCCGCGCAATAGGAAGGTCCTATTGATCCACGTACCTGATTGTCGAGCGGGAGTTATCGATGGATCGACCGAATGTCGTGCACCGGACTCAGAGGGTGAGGAGAGAAAAGGCGCGAGAAGTAGCCCAAGATGGGTCCAAGATTCATATGATCAAGAAAGGGAAATGGGCGCGCAAAGAGCAAGGCGGGAGAGAGAGAGAGAGAGAAAGAAAACAGTTACGGGGAGAGAGAAAGAGGAGGGAGAAGGGGAAAGGAGCGCGGGAGGGAGCGATGCGGGGGACAGAGAGGAGAAAGCTTTGCACGCGCGGTGCCGTCAACAAAAAGAGAGAAAAGGGCACCAAAATAGTTACAGCTTGCTTTTATCCTTATTCAAAATTGAAATCACCATATCCGCGCGCGAAAAAGCGACGCGGGAAAAGAAAATCCTACGCCTATTCGTATTCGTATAAAATTCCGAGAGTTTTCCCTGAAGCGACCAAGAACATTCACACATACGAAAATGACACGTCGAAGTTCCGCTTATCCCGGAATTCCCAACTGCCGAGCCCAATTTCCAGTGCGCTCGCTAAGGCGCACGCAATTTCCTATGTATTTCCCGAAGTGCAGAAAGGAAAAGCAGAACCGGGGAGTCGAAAAAGCTTTCCGAAAGATGGGAGCAAAAAACGTGGTACCCAAAATCAAGAAAATGAAAACAAGTTTTTTATGGGGTTGGTAAGATACAAGCAAAAAGGGGTACGAAAGATAGCATGGGTTTGGGAAGTGGTTCGTCACATTTGTGACGCGCAGGGGGTTCCAAAATTATGCGATCTCATGATTGCATGTCATGGCAGAACAGAGTGATGCATGAGGAACCAAGCGTATCAACAAGCCATCCAGCCAAAGTCCATGTTGACGCCAACTTCAATTGCAATTGTCTGTTGCTGGAATCCTCGATGGTCGTCCAGTTGACGCCATCATCGTCCGCTGGTTCTCCGTGTGCTCTGCACCCCAGCTGGTTGCTGCCCGTCAAATCAGAGCGTGAGTTGACGTCATCGTTGATGGCGTGATCTTCGTGAAGCTTACTGATTCGTGCCGTTTTCCCCGGCTGATTGCATGAAGAGAGGAGAGGGAGAGTGGGGGGAGGGTAGTGATGTGACCGGGGTCTACCTCCTAGTTGGAATGGGCCAATCGAGGTGGTACATGGAGGGGATTTCACGGGGTCGACGGGGAGGAAGTGGGGTTAGGAAGCGATTCATTCCTTCCATCATCACCGGAAGCTCCTCATATCGGATGATCCGATGGAAGTGGGGGAAGTGATCGCCGCTTTGAGGGAGGGAAGCGAGGTAGTCGCGATAGAAGGAGGAGAGGGTGCGAAAAAGCGCCGCTCGAAAGATTTCGTTGTGGCCGCAGGCGGGGATTGTCCCCGTGGCTACACAGTAGACTTCTACCACGTTGCATCGTTCCCAGGCAGCGCTGAACAACAAGATATGCCAGCAGAACGTGGGGGCAGCGGGTTGAAGGGATGCGTGGGGGTAGACGGTAGCGAATAGGCGGGTAGAATAGAAGTCGTGGAAGAGATGGGGGAGGAAGGGATGGGGAGGGAAGGTGACGGGGGTGCGGATCTGTTCGAGGGTGAGAAAATCAAGGGGTCGGCGGGATAGCATCCGAGGACGAAGGCCTATTGCCCGCATCTGTACGTGGGCGAACTGAGGGACGGGTGGGGCTGGGGGAGGAGGGGGATCGGCTCCGTCTCCGTCGTGCGGTACTTGAGGTGGCGGTTGCAGGTTCGCCATCTTCGGGCTTTGGCGACTCTGGATCCCTGGTCGGATCGTTACCGATACGCAGGCTGGCTTCGCTGGCGAACTCCAGCTGGCGCTTCCCGGTGGCAATTTCTTCGCGCTTTCGCACCGCTTCCGGATCTTCCGCCTCCGTTCCCGTGCGCGTCGCTTCCTCCGGCAAGGCTTCCCACTCTGATCCGGTTTCTTCTTCCTCCTCTTCTCCTTCACTCAGCTCGCCCTCACTATATTCGCTATAGCTTCCCTCCTCCGATGTTTCCACGTCTTCGTCCTCTTCGTCGTCCTCGTCGATCACGACTTCCTCTGCCCTCGGATAGAAGGCGTGAGGGATGATATCGTACGGCTTCAGATACTCCTGCCGCGACAACAGCGTATCTTCGTCCTTGGGATCCTCCAAGCACACAGTCCACTGAAGATATAGATCCAATGAGCGTTCGAGAACGTGCGGAGCAGGATTGTCGTCACTCTGTGAGTAGATGTCGGGAGAGAGATCGTCCGCCAATTGCACGATCGGCGCGATGAGCTCCTGTGCAATCAGCTGGCGGCGCCCCGACCGTACCGATCCAAAGAGGAAACCAAGAAGATCTCCCTCCACGTTAGACAGAAAGAGGCTCGAATGAGAAGGAAAGAGAAGGATGAAGATCGGATTGCCAGAAGGTGGGGAAGAGAGAGGGGAGACCAAAGATGGAGAGAGGAGCGAGAGGATCGGCGTGGTTCATTGGGGATGTGGGAAGGGGACAAGGGTGGGAATCACAACTGGCCGCTCGCGTGGAGAACGGCGGATGTCGCCAAGATCCGGCGCAAAGGTTGGGATGAGATTGTGCCCAGGTCGGGCGAGAACATGCTGCCACACGTTGGACACCTGCTCCGTCCACTCGCGTAATGAAGTCAAGATCGCGGTATGCCTTTGCGGATTGACCGAGCTGATGTCGCCGCTGAACGCCGCGACCGTGGTGACGTAGCTCGTTCTGGGAGCCGCTCGCCGATGAACTGCGATTACCTCCGCGAATACTATTGCGTGAGGACTCCCTTCGATTCGAAACGCGGCGGCGACACAGATACCCACGTCGCAGAAAAATGCGCCAAACGCCAGAGATCCGTATTGAGCCGAGGGTGACAAACTTGCCGAATCTCTGAGATGCGGCCACATGGCTGCAACAACTGTATGTCAAGAACCTGCTCCGTGATGAAACTCATGGCGAGGTCGGAGAGGAGGACGAAGGACAAGAGGGAGAAAGAGGAGAGAGAGTTAGATCCTCGTCGTTCTCCTCGCTTTCCGAGGAAGAAGAGGGAGGAAGATCAGAAGGAGGAAGGAGACGAAGGTAGGAGGTATGCCGGACGATGGGGACAGAGCTATGGCTGGCACTAGCCTCAGGCGCGATGCGCACCGTGTTGGCGCCGTTGGGTCCGAGCTCGACAACGCGAAAACAGCCAAAAAACTTGGGAGCGAGTTTCCGGTCGCGTGCACATTTACGTACCTGCACTAAGTCCCCTAATTTATATTGATGCTGGGGCCCAGCATTTCCATTCCGGGCCTCGTAGCTACGGACCTGTCTACCGTGGGCCAGTTCGGTCATCCTTTGCCTTTTTCGTGTTAGCTTCGGGATGGTCCGTTCCATTAATTCGATGTACCTTTTGGCCTTGGCCTTGAGAGCTGCACGCGTGTTTCTACCCCCCGCTTCGGCGATTTCCGAGTTACCCCGGTAGTCGACACAGGGGAGGCTATTAGTTCAAAGCTGAAAAGGGGTAAACCCCATGGACTCGTGAGGGGTGGCCCAGTGGATCCCGACGATCTGATATAAGATCTCGGGCCAAGGACGCGTGTCATGTGCCGCTAAGTTCCTGCGAAGGGCGGTTTTAATCATACGGTTGGCATTTTTAGCCAACCCGTTCGACTGGGATACGTGGGGTGCCGTATGTCGGAGCGTGACGCCTCTTCGGGCAAGCAGATCTTCTACCTCACCCTTGAATTCAGACCCATTATCGGTCAGAATTTCTTCCGTATCTAGATGGGTATAGAGGAACCGTTCGATGTACGTGGCTATTTCTGCGGCTTTTCGGGTCTTACAGGGATAGACTTCGATGTACTTGGAAAAATGGTCTATTAATACTAACAGGATAGAATATTCACAGCGGTTTGGGCCAGGTGGCACGTCGGTAACTGTCGTGTCCATACTGACTCGTTGGAAAGGACGCTCTACTTCCGTTGGTACGATCGTGTTTGGTCCCCGTATAGGGGCGCGATCGGCGACACAAACCAGACAGTTAGCAACAATGTATTTGACATCATCTCGTATATTGGACGAGAACCATCGGTTCTGATCTACAGTTGCCTCCGTGACACGTATCGCGAAATGAGCGGCCTGTTCTTCGTGAGCCGATCGGATCCAATCATATCTCTGGAATGGATGGGGAACCGTCAACCATGAGGCCGATCCGTCAGTTTTACGTTTTTCCAAATGACCGTTGACCCATCAATAGTCCCGAGATCTCTCGGTTGCCCTACGTCTGTCGTGTTTGGTGAGGTGGCCCAGTGATAATCCCACTAATTTCGCCAATAAAATTTTATCCGTCCAAACCTCTGCTCGTCGGTATTTTTCGTCGTATTCAGGGCCGTCCATACGGGCGGCCTCGAATCGAACCTCCGTGGGGAGGTTGTTCGTTCTACACAGGGGGCACCTCCATTCCTTGCTATTCGTCAGATATCGAACGCAGGCCCCGTGCGCACGATTGACACATGTGGCACATTCTACCCAGTTGACAAACCCGGTTTCGAAAGGATGACAGTTGACCCCATAGACCCGTGCAATGCACGTGCAAAAATAACAGAATTTATCGGAGAGAGTGGCAAAGAAAGCTGAGGACGTGAGAGGGGCAGAATTAGCAGGAGATGAAGGGGTTGCGGAGGCAGGTGGGGTAGTCATGATGACAGAGAAGGAAGGGATGCAGAGAGGGTAGAACAGACCAATTAGTCCTCGTGTCACTCACTGCTTCGATAAGATCTCCACTTGACCGTACCGAGGTCTGATCTCCTGTTCGGGTTCGTTCCACGGAATCACCTCCTCACTCTTCGGAACTTTCTCTCTGGCTGGTGCAGTCGTGTCAGTCCGTCCGCATTCCCGTGTCTCTCGTGCTTCTGATGACGAATGTCAAAGTCCATGCTCTGCAGCACCGTTGCCCATCGCCTAATCATGCCAGAGTAATCCTTCGATTTCTTCAGAGCCAACAGGGGCTCATGATCAGTTACCAAGGTGAACTTTCGCCCGTACAGGTAAGCGCGAAAGTGGCTGATTCCCCAGAGGGCCGCGTAGCATTCCCCCGTTGGAGCGGCGTAGTTGCGCTTGCAAGCTGGCACCGATTTGGACGTATACTCCACCACACTCTCGAGTCCGCTTGGTCCCACCTGGGCTAGGATCGCCGAAATTGCCTCCGACTGCCAGTCAGTGATGAGAACAAAAGGCTTTTTGGGATCCGGTCTTATAAGGACCGGAGCCGAAATGAGAGCGGCGTTGAGTTTGAAATACGCTTGATCGCATTCCGGCGTCCAGATCAACGACCGATCTTTGCGCAGCAGATTCGTGAGGGGTCCCTCAATCGCCGCGAAGCCCTTGATAAATCTTCGGTAGTACAAGGCTAGGCCCAGAAAAGCGCGAACTTGCGTGATAGTCGTAGGCACCGGCGCATCCCTGACAGTTGCCACCTTCTGTGGCTCCGACTGGAGTCCCTTGTCTGTCACCACGTGCCCTAGGAAGGAAATGGTGGTGAGAAAAAACTGACACTTCTCAAGTGCCACCTTGAAGCCCGCATCTCGTAACGCGTGCAGTGCCCATTCGATGTGCTGCACGTGTCCCTCGTAGGAACTCGAATACACCAAGATATCATCCATGTACACAATCACGCAGTAGTTGATGATGCTCTGTGCCAAACGAGTCTTTCTCACAAAATTCTGAAAAGCCATGTTCATGGCCCGCTGAAAGGTCGCGGGGGCGTTGCAGATACCCATCGGACATCGAATCCACTGCCACGTGCCCTCGAAAAGTACAAACGCTGTTTTCAGACGATCTTCTTCTCGAACAAGAAGATGATGGAACCCATGGCGAACATCAAACTTGCTGAAAAATCGAGCACTCCCAATCGCATCCAACAACTCATCAATCCGGGGGAGGGGGTACACATCTTTGATCGTGATATCATTCAACTTTCGATAATCAATGCAAATGTGAATCCCTCCGGCCTTTTTAGGCACGATTACTACAGGAAAAGACCAGGGACCTATGGCGGGTTCGATCCATCCATTAGCTTCAAATTATTTAATCCGCTGAAAAGAAGCCGCTCTTTGAGCTGGCGAGTAGCGGTAAGGAACGCAGCTAATGGGTGGATGGTCTCCCGTGAGAATGGCATGCTCGATCATGTTAGTTAAGCCGGTGTCATTATCGTGTATGCTCAATACTTCTGCGTAACCATTTAACACACAGATTAACGACTTTTGAAGTTCCGCGGGAACGTGACTCGGTAGGGTAATTGTTGATTCCCCGGAAATCTTAAGGGGCATATCGACCCAATCAACCGGCTGTTTCCGTCGATTATAGACACTAGAGAAACAGAACTACTGGTGCGAACAGAGAAGACAGTTGCTATCATCTGGGACTCAGCGGGGCTGATCATCTCCGTTTCTTTAGTTTCAGCATCAGTCTCTGAACTAACCGAGGTCGGTTCCACATTTAGCCCCGTTAGACCCATCATTTCCTGCATCAGATCAGGTACATCACTTACCGGTGCTTCCGCCTCTTGTTTAATCAAAGCGATGGTGGCTCCTGTCGTTAATAACGTTTTGGGCGGGAAAACAGAAACATCCAAATATTGTTCCGTTTGCTGATAACGTGTTCGTAAGGAGAGACCTCCTTCGTATAAGGTACGAGGGGGTTCCGAATCATTGGCCAGGTCAGATACTTGTAATATGGGTTCCCCAAGTAGGACCAAAGGACTAACTTGAGTTATCGAAGGCGCAAGCGCGCTGTCTCCTGAATCTACGTGGAAGCTTCGAGCAGGGTCGGGGCACACTTGGAATTCTTCGGGAATTTCGTATTTGAAAAGTTCAACCAGGTGCTTTCATTCATCTTCGCTAGGCAACTCTTCTTCGTATTCCTGTTCCCTGATTCTACTATCAATGTCTGAGGAAGAACTCTCCTCGGGATTAATGTATCGAATCATCCCTATTTGGGCCGAGTTCGGGGTTTGTTTTACCATTCGGGTGGAAATTCGCAAAGGAACAGTTTGAGGTTTTCCCCCAGTTTGAGTGAGCACCAGTTGTTTCCAATTGAAATGCAATCGTGCGCCCACCGCCATCGCCCAAGGCAATCCTAATAGTACAGAATAGGAGCGCACATCTATCACGAGCGCGTTGACGAGGACGTGTACTCGTCCAACCTTTACTGCCACATTTTCAATAATGCTTACGATATTCATTGCTTCCTCGTCGGCGGAGACATAATTGTTATTGCCAGATTGAGGAAGAATGGATCCGAGTCGTCCCGTCTTTCTGACACTGTCTAATGATATGGCTACCGCAGAAGACCCTGTGTCGATAAGGGCGTTAAACGGCTTGCCCCAAATCTCGCAATCACACTCCGCGCTTTTCCATAGCACCGACCGAGCTCGTACGAAGTGATCTTTCTCTACTAAAGAGATCGCGGCTATTCGTGCGGCCTCAGGTTCTCCGGCTTCGGGTTCGGGTTGTGCAACTTCCTCGCTTTCTTCCTTCTTCTTTAACATCCGTTGTATGCGCTGATAGGTGAAGCGCTTTTGATTTTTCTGGCAATGCTGTAAAAGTTTATCATTCGCCGCTTCAGATATGGTGAGCAGATGTCCCACCGGGATCGGAACACGAATGTCCAGTTGTTTGAGTGCTCGTAGCACGTCAATCTCTCCTGTTCGGAACTGCGGACCAGGATTGGATTCGCGATCGACCCATTCGAGATCATCAGGGGCCGATCGGATCGCTCCGACCATGCCTGCAAGATGAAGATATTCGAGTGGATCGACCACGTCCGCAGCGTCAGAGGGAGAAACTCCTGATGTCGATGCCATTGTCGTCGAGGAGGAAGGCTGCTCTGGGGCATATGCCACGAGCTCTCCTCCCTGGGTTGTATCCATTAAAGCGGTCACTCGTCCTTGATTCAGGGCCATGGGGGCCACCGCATGTGGGGGCTGACTACGTTTTGGCTGCGGCCAGTCTCGAGCGAAATGTCCGAGCTGTTTGCAGTTAAAACACTCGATCTTTCCTGCTGGATTGGCTAGGTGAGGGAACTGAGGTGCGTACCATGGAGCAGGCGGGGCGGGTCAGAGCCGAAATGATGCGGGGGCCGGCCGAGCAGAGGCCGGGTTAGGCTTAATTAGCCTACTCATTATCTGTTCCATCCGTTCCATGTGAGCGGCCTGCATTTGGATCAAGTTGCTCATCCATTCGGACTGCTTGGTAGTGGCCATATGGATCATCTAGGCAAGGTGTAAGTTGAATATGGCCGGCGAGGAGGGTTCGGGTGAGATTCGGCTTTTAACGGTTGCGATCGATTGATTCACCGGGAAAGAGGAAGAAGAAGCAGTCGGGATATCGGAAACGATCCTGCCGGGAAGGTCGTGGTCAGGGCGGGGATAAAACCGTTCGACCGCATGCAGCCATGATCGCCTCTTAACCGTTACATCCCGTATGGTATCTGTAATGTCTTCGTCTCCCTGGCTGATATATATTTTTGTATCAGCCAGGTCCAGTTCCAATGCTTTAGCGATGATAGCCGATAACTGGTGTGTTTTCGGCGGGACCTTTTTCTACAGTTTGCCTTTCAATGTCGGACTTCGTAGATGATCGATGAACAAATCTCGAGCGGATTTCTCGTCCCGCCCGGATTTGTCCAGCGTGGTTTGAAATCGATCGACGAAATCGGGCAACAATTTCCCTGATCCTTGTGGCCGATTTTTTAGCACGTACCAGACGGCATCTTCACTGACCGTATCGAATCGAGCCAAGAAGGCTTGTTTGAAAGTATCCCAATCTACCCACGTATGTTTTCTAAACCAGTCATGCGACGTATTGCGGAGTAGCAATGTTAGAACGCGAGGAAGATCGGCTGCGCTGTAGTTTTGAGCTTCTACAGCTTCCAACCAAGCCTCAGGATGGGTATGGTTAGGGAAGAAAGGGAAGGGGGCGGGGATGCTAACGATCACCCTAGTACCGTCCACCATTGGTGCTGCGGGTGCAGCCGTACCAGACCGAGACCGGGTCACTGGGCGATCCCGACGAGCTAGTTGAGGGCCTCTCCTACCTCTCGCCGATTCGACTTACTATCATCAGAACCGACATGTGTCGGCTCCGATACCAACCTCACGCCCTATGCTGTCTTTCGTTCGGAGTGTTAGGCGTGTGGAAAGAGGCCCAGAAAAACAGCAAGATGGGGTGTGCCAAGGATTTTTGAAAATTGAGTGTGGGGACACAGATGGAACTGAAATCTCTCGTGTTGGTCTAATGAAGGTGGTCGATTGCTTTCGCGCGTCGCGGAATGCGCGCGCGGGCATGACGCGAAAAAAGAAAAATCCAAATTCAATCCAAAAAGTATTGTCGGGCTTCCCACCGGGCTACAGCTCGTCGTTTAGAACGGAAAGGCTTTGGCACGCTCCGCGTGTCTCGTTTTCGTATCAAATCTCGTCGTCGTTCGATGGTCAGTTTCGAATCCGACGTGGATGGTCTCAGCCGCGTGGCTCTTTCTTTATGCTCGTCTTCACTCCGCACACGGTAGTGGAAACCCCTGGATTCGTAGCGCTCAAAACGCTGGCATTCGGTGCATAGAGTGCGCGGCAAGTGGGGTTCTACTGTCGTCCACGGGATGACGATCAACTCGTTGAATGGCAACAATATTGAGTAAGGTGGAAAGTGCGTATCGATAATGACAAACCCGACCTCTACGAACCCTGAACAATGACTTGCTGGAGAAAAGTAGTATCGTCCGCCGATTTGTGCAACGACTTCTCGTACGTCCCACTCACATACACGTGTCCTTCCCTTGTTATAGGGAAAAGGCCGTGTTGGGACGGGAGGTACAGGAGGCTGGTGCCCGACCGGAGGGTATTGGTCAGCCCACATATCAATCAATTGTAAAGACCTTGCGACGTCATCAAGAAAAGAAAACATTCGCGCAACTCATAAACAATCTCCTTCAACATGAGAGAGAGAGAGAGAGAGAGAGAGAGAGAGAGAGAGAGAGAGAGAGAGAGAGAGAGAGAGAGAGAGAGAGAGAGAGAGAGAGAGAGA